GACAGGCTTGCCAGCGGAGGAAATAATAAAAGATATGGAGACAGCCTACAGGGCATACTCCAACTATATTAAGAAAAATAGCCTGCCTGGAGAGATTCTGGTGAGATTTGCAAGAAGACAGACCAGAGATACCATACTAAAGGCAACTTCAGCAACTCCACTGAAACTTGGGAATACAATTATTAAGACTTCAAAAGACATTCCATTTGAAATTCGTCAGAAGAGAAAGAGCTATAAGGATTTAATTTCTTTCCTTCAAACAAACGGAGTACAGTACACATGGGGGATCCCTGAAGGTGTCATCTCTAAAATCAACGATAGAAGGGAGAGGATAGACTCCATCTTCAAAGCTAAATAATTTTTGAGACGTCAGCTGGGATTGGGGGAAGAATCTAAAGAGGAAGAAACTAAGTCAAGTGACTCAGCTGCCTCGGGAACGGATGAAGACTCTGCAGCAGAAGCGGGTGCGGGAGCAATAAAAACTGTATATGATTTTAGAGACAGAAAGCTGAAGTAAGGGCAGAAGGACTCTGATAAATGGCTCTTTGAAGAAAAGAAGATGCTCAGAAAGTTCTCTCAAAATAACTAATTTACTAATACAGAAAATGTGAAAAACAAGAACTCTACAAGTATATTGTTTTACTAACACTTTTAATACTAATATTTAGCTTAACATGAAGGGGGTCTCCCACTCTTGGGTTTTTAGTTAGTGTGGGTATCTTTCCTTTCTCCATAGTTGTAGTTTCCCCTCCTATATTTTTCTTTATAGTTTGTAGCCTTATTGAAAAAATAAAAATACCCCTCCGAGGGTTTAAAAAAAAGAATTTGATGGGAGACCACTAAGGAATTCCAGGGTCACTCTGCAGAGGCAGGCAATGGCAAACCACCTCTGTTAGTCTCTTGCCTTGAACACCCCATGAAGGGTCACGGTAAATCAGCTGCAACTTGACTTTACATACATACACATATCTGGGACTGTTCTTTTTTCTAGCAGAGAGGGAGAACAGCAACATGTAAGGAATTATTCTCCCCCTTGCCTAATTATATTGGGAATGAATAAATTTCTCTAATAGTTAAGCGATCCAAGCAGTCATGCCTTATGGTTACCTTTAACACTTCAGTCCGGTAACCAAGGGTGGTTTAAACTTCACAAACAAACACCCTGTCTACCAGAAGATACAGAAAGAGCTATTTTTTTCTTCTGACGAAAGGAAAAAACAACACATAGAGGACAACTGGCTTGGGTCAGGTTATTCCACAGGCACTCTTTATCCACAAGAAAGTTAAGATATTGGCAGGTAGCCTACATGTACTTGCGGAGTTCCAAGTGTTTTCCCTTCAATCAGATTAGTGAGGGAGAGTAAATCGTGTTTTTGAGGATATTGTCAGAAGGATGAGGCGAGCACAGCCCAATCTTCTTAGTACTAGTTTATTCAATAGGACTTAACTTCTAAATAAATATGCACAGGCAGGGCTATTTTGGGGCACAGGAACGGAGTTCCGGCTGGCTCCTGAGTTGGCCACGCCCAGCAGGAGCTCATTAGCATAATAGGCCACATCTAACAGCAGAAACTCATTAGGATTGGCTACATTAGGGGTGTGTGGTCTAACATACAAAGAAGTTCCTGCTACAAAAAAAGCCCAGGGTTTTGACAACAAAGTAAACAGAATAAGAAGCAAAAGGTGGGTGTGGCTGGATGACCACAGTTCTGGTAACATAGGGGTGTGGCCTAATATGCTAATGAGCTGTGCTGTGATGGGTGTGGGCTATTACGCTAATGAGTTCCTGCTGGGCTTTTTCTACAAAAAAAGCCCTGTGCACAGGGTTGCAGATCTAAACAGCATGTTTGTCTGGGAGTAACCTCCTTCCCCCAAACTCAGTAAGGCTTCTTTCCAGATTCCGCGTGTAGGTGGAGAACAGTACTATAGATAATTATGAGATTCCACTAAAGATTGTACAGAAGGGCAACTTGCCTAGTTCATTTGGTCTGGTTTTCTAAAGATTTCTTCAGCTTTCTCACTTTGTGCAAACAAGTCACAGAACATCTTTTGGGAAAGTACTGTGAGAGTTCTGTTACAACACAAAATTAAGTCGTACACTGAGTGCCAATGGTATTTCAGCTGGAATTTACCACAGATTTGCAAAGACAAGCCAACTGAATGGGGAGTGGAGATTTGAGATATTTCAACTGAGAGCCAGTTTTACACACTCATGCCAGCACACAGTCTAAATGGCAACACGTCAGTTCTTACTAAAGCAAGAAGTGCAGCCTGTAGAAATGCAGAACAAATTCACACATGTAAAAACTGGGTTCTTATTTCCAGAAGACCCATGCCTAAGTTTTTATGTGCAATCCCTGCTTCCTGAAGCCAATTATATTGTGTGTAATGGGCAAGCTAAATAGAGTATTCCTAAAAACATCACCTGTCAAAGAGATGATATTGCCATGGTCTAACTAATGGGCCTAATTTTCATCCACAGTTTCAGTATCCTGGAGAGAAACACCTTCATCCAAGCACAACTGTAACCAACAGTAGTCAACATCTCACTTTCCCAAAACACTGAAGCAATCTTAGGAGGTTTACAGACAGGATGGAAAACATAGCCCATATATTTGAATACCTCCTTGTATTTCATGAACAGCTACTTACTTAACCTACAACATAGTTCACTCCGTGAGTAAAACACATTCAGGAAAACGACTGTAAATAGAATATCACAAATGTCTGTTTCCAAGGTAACCGGTTCCCTCCCCCACCTCCTCTGAGGTTGGGGGGGAAATACCCAAAAGGAACGTGAGAGAAAAAGACAAGCGCTTGCTGGAACCTCACACAAATAAAACCTTTGCTAACACACAATAGACATTTCTAGATGTAGTTGAGGCTAAAGCGGCTGCGATGGGGGGGGGGCTGTTTCCATGGAAACAACGAAGAAAGAGCATGTTGCATGAGACAGAGCCACACACACGAAAAGAACCAAGATGAAGCTGGACGATTTCTCGTTGGCTTCGGGAATGAATTAAAAAACGGAGCATAAGGAAGGCAAAGGAGAGAAAATGCAGAACAAATTCACACATGTAAAAACTGGGTTCTTATTTCCAGAAGATACAGACCCATGCCTAAGTTTTTATGTGCAATCCCTGCTTCCTGAAGCCAATTATATTGTGTGTAATGGGCAAGCTAAATAGAGTATTCCTAAAAACATCACCTGTCAAAGAGATGATATTGCCATGGTCTAACTAATGGGCCTAATTTTCATCAACAGTTTCAGTATCCTGGAAAGAAACACCTTCATCCAAGCGCAACTGTAACCAACAGTAGTCAACATCTCACTTTCCCAAAACACTGAAGCAATCTTAGGAGGTTTACAGACAGGATGGAAAACATAGCCCATATATTTGAATACCTCCTTGTATTTCATGAACAGCTACTTACTTAACCTACAACATAGTTCACTCCGTGAGTAAAACACATTCAGGAAAACGACTGTAAGTAGAATATCACAAATGTCTGTTTCCAAGGTAACCGGTTCCCTCCCCCACCTCCTCTGAGGTTGGGGGGAAATACCCAAAAGGAACGTGAGAGAAAAAGACAAGCGCTTGCTGGAACCTCACACAAATAAAACCTTTGCTAACACACAATAGACATTTCTAGATGTAGTTGAGGCTAAAGCGGCTGCGATGGGGGGGGGGCTGTTTCCATGGAAACAACGAAGAAAGAGCATGTTGCATGAGACAGAGCCACACACACGAAAAGAACCAAGATGAAGCTGGACGATTTCTCGTTGGCTTCGGGAATGAATTAAAAAACGGAGCATAAGGAAGGCAAAGGAGAGAAGCAGCAAGACAATGATTCAATCAAGTAAGTTTCAGGAGGCGGCAGCAGAGCGTGCCGCTCGAGCCCTTCCACCCCACCTTACACGCGGTTCCCCACACTAAACGCCCTTCAGAACTACAACTCCATGCACGGAAAGAGACAGTTCAATACCATGCAAATTCAAAGTTTTAGAGAAGTAACGGTAAGAAGACCACTCATACCTCGTCCTAGGCAGCTCCTGACAGAGATGCTCTGGAAAGCAAAAGCGAGAGATCAAAGCTCGGGGATCGCCACTACTTTACATGAGCTGTAAGTCAGCCAACACCGTGAAAGAAAGCCAGACTCCACCCTAGGGGTGGGTTCTTAAAAAAACACACACACCCGGGCTCTTCTGCTGACGTCTCTCGCCCACCAAATGTCACTTCCTTTTAAAGCTGCAATTCAGCAGCGAAGAGAAGGATGCTTCCCTAGTGTAACCTGATTCTGGCCTTCATTAAAGCCCCACCAATTAGTCAGAGGAAGTCATTCCTCCCATCCCTTTTTGCTTCCAGCTGTTATAGAAACCAACCTTGGAACAAAAGCTCTTTATGTAGCATCTTTTTCTCCCTTTCATCCTTGTTGCCTCCTTTCATGCAAAAGGGATTGTATTTGACCTCTCCAGACTGACGCTGGTTGTCATGCCTGGAGCAGGTTTCTCCAAATTAAAAAGGTAAAGGTTCCCTTGCTCGAAAGAAACAGCAACAAGGACCCAGCAACCCTAGAGAGTAGAACAATACAAAAAGGTTGCCGAACAAGTTCAATATACTTATGCAAAATATTAGTAATTTAATACATATTCTTTTTGTTTCAGTAGCTGCACATCCAGAGACCGAAGTCCCAAGAAGACGAACTTGCTCGAGATTTTAGCTGTTCGTTTCGACCAAAGTCTTTGTCACATCTCAGTTTGTAGTCATTCTTTCTGTTCACAAAGTCAATTCACAAGTGGCTGAACACAGCTCCCAACTGATATTAGAATTTAATTCTTTGTTATCAGAAAATTCTAATATCAGTTGGGAGCTGTGTTCAGCCACTTGTGAATTGACTTTGTGAACAGAAAGAATGACTACAAACTGAGATGTGACAAAGACTGGTCGAAACGAACAGCTAAAATCTCGAGCAAGTTTGTCTTCTTGGGACTTCGGTCTCTGGATGTGCAGCTACTGAAACAAAAAGAATATGTATTAAATTACTAATCCCTTGCTCGAAAGCCAGTCGAGTCCGACTCTAGGGTTGTGGTACTCATCTCCGTTTCAAAGCCGAAGAGTCAGCGCTGTCCGAAGAAGTTTCTGTGGTCATGTGGCCAGTGTAAAAGAAACATGACTGATGGGTATTGTTCTGGCAAAGTTATCAATAAAGGAGCACCACAGAAAACAGATTTGAGCAAACCAGTTGGGCTACTTGGTAGCAAATTGCTAATGTCACTAACTTGGGGATGGTTACCCATTTATTTATTTTGCACGTTTTAATAGTACCCCTCTTCCAAGTAGCTCAGGGAAACAATTGTGAGACACCACAATCACACAGTATCTTCTTAAGCAACACAGTAGAACTTTACACAGAATAAACAAAGAAAGAAATACAGCTTGCCTAGCACAAGTGGGTGGAGCCAGGTAGGGCTTTTCCCCAGCAGGGCTTCTGGTTAACTATTGAAGATTTGATTTGGCTGTGTAGATTTTTTTTAAAAATGTTGCTTTGACACCAGCTGCCATCACAACACAAAGGATTTTCACTGTGTAACTGCAGTTAAACTGCGGCAATCATTTTGTGGCTGGCTTCACTTTCTGTGGCAACCATTTTGTGACGAATTTTGTCACTGCGCCTACCATGCCATGTCAGAATTCCAAAGGTGCCTGCAGGCAGAAAAGGGATGGGGACCCCTGGCCTAGCTGCATGTGGTATATTTGGTACTGTTACTTGAAGGACAACTCCCAGAAGGACTCTAGCAAGAAGAGGTTCAGGGCTTCTGGCCATTACTGAAGGAGGAGTTAGAGTTATTGGGGCCTAGTTATGGACTGTTGAGCTAGTTAGTTGTTATGTCCCTATTGTGTAGTGGGTTAACCGCATGGCAAGGCCGCTGCGGTTCGCGTATCTTCCTGCACGCTTACTGCTACACAACAAAGACAAAGGAAAAAACGGCTCGTGGGCCAACTATATACACATATGGGGACACCCCCTAGGTCCCGTTGGTGGGTTTGACTCTCCCGCCAACATCCCATTGGTCCCTCGGTGGAGAGACCAGGAGCCTTGTCCCATTGTTCCTCCAGAGTCAAGCTCTGGGGTATTCGCTGACCTCTAGTGGCGGTCAGCAGACACAACAGTCCCAATAAACATAGCTTTTGTGATCACAAATGTCTCCGCTTCTTGTTATTTCTCTACCTAGTGATAAAACAAAGGCAGTTCATCCTGAGCCAAACCTGGTTTGAAATTGCTCCAAATTCTGGTATCATGGACCTACAAGAAATAATAATGTGGACTTTTGAATATTACACTCCTCTTCTTCATTTTATCCTGATACCAACTTGTGAGGTAGGTTAATCTGAGAGAGAATTGCTGGCCCAAAGCTACCCGGCCAGTTTAATGGCAGAGGGGGGATTTAAACCTGGATCTCCCAGATCCTAGTCTGACACTATTAACCATTCTAAGACAATCATTTCAATCTTGTGCATTTTTAGATTAAAAGTAAATTACACTGCAATCAACGGAGGTTACACTGAAGCAAGCAAGTGTGCATAGGATTGCAAAACAGATACACTAGCATAAGCAATTTATAATCCTCTTGCTCTCATGCTACTTAAGACTGGTGTGCTGTTAATTTGGATATAAATAATTTACACCCACCTTAAATCAAATTACATATAAATGGTTCTTAGATTGTTGCTCACAAAGTTTCAGCTGAAGGGAGGTTCCAACAGCAGACAGAGACAGAAAAATAGCAGCAAAAATGTTTCAGGCACTAAAACTAGGAAAACTATGGAGAGGCTGAAATATACGGGCGCTTCCAGATTCTTTACCTTCTCCTCATTCCTTGGCTGGTTGGTTGGTTTTAGGAGGGGCTCTGAAATACCCCGTACCAGTCCTTTTCTAATACCATAGTTAGACTTGCGCCCCAGTCTACAGATCCCAATGCACACAGGAATCTCTCTCTCTATAAAAACAGGTGTTCTGACTGACTCATCAATGCCCAGCCCAAACCCTTGGACCTAAAAACACAAAATTCAGGGAGTGCACTCCTTCCATGACATCAGTGCCCACTAAGAAGGATTTTTAGAAACCCAACCTGTAAAGGGGTGAAAAGGGGTAAAATGTGTTTTCCCAAAAGAGTAACACTTTGCTGTGTGCCTGGCAGGCTTCTGCCTGCTTGCACTCCCCTCTCTCTGATTGGTCAGATGTGGAGTTCAGAGTTTTGAGGTAAAAACAAGTTACAGGAGACTGCAGACAGTTGTATTCCTTCCACAATCCACTAAACGAATGGAAAACTGTGTAGTGGTTGCGCTTAAGACGTTTTTTAACAACAATTATATACTCATAATACAAAAAGTGCATGCAAGATAACATGAACAATGTAACAATGTAATAGAAATGTTGTTTGTTAATGATGATCTCCAGAATGTTCTAACGTTTTGACAAGTTTCTTCTTCCAAATGAAGATGAAGATAGATGAAGAGTCTTATCAAATATATACAATAACAATGCTATATAAGAATCTTTGGTAACTGTACCCTTAAATAACAATACTATAATAAAAAACTTGCTTACATGTAATGTCTCTGGTCAGTTTTTCAGCTGGTAATTACCATTATTTTTCACTATTGTGTCTACAAAATACAATCATCTCATTATTGTTTTGTTGTGGTTGTTCAGTCGAGTCAGACTCTTCGCGACCCCATAGACAAGATCAGGCCAGGCCCTCCTGTCTTCCGCCATTCTCTGAAGTTTGCTCAGTTTCATGTTCATTGCATTGATGACACTATCTAACCATCTCATCCTTTGCCATCCTCGTCTTCTTTGACCTTCAATCTTTCCCAGCATCAGGGTCTTCTCTAGTGAGTGCTCCCTTCTCATTTCGTGGACAAAGTATTTGAGCTTCAGTTTCATTATCTGGCCTTCCAGGGAATAGTCAGGGTCGATTTCTTTTAGGATTGACTGATTTGATCTCCTTGCAGTCCAAGGGACTCTCAAGAGTCTTCTCCAGCACCATAGTTCAAAAGAATCTATTCTTCGGCGCTCGGCCTTCCTTATAGTCCAACTCTCACAGCCATACATGACTACTGGGAATACCATTGCTTTGACCATGCGGACTTTTGTTGGCAGGGTGATGTCTCTACTTTTTATCATGCTGTTTAGGTTCGCCATCACTTTCCTCCCAAGGAGCAGGCGTCTTTTAATTTCATGACTACTGTCACAGTCTGCAGTGATCTGGGATCCCAGGAACGTGAAGTCTGTCACTACTTCCACAGCTTCCCCTTCTATTTGCCAAGGAGTGATGGGGCCGGATGCCATGATCTTAGTTTTTTTGATGTTGAGCTTCAAGCCCACTTTTGCGCTCTCCTCTTTTACCCTGAGCAAGAGGCTCTTGAGGTCCTCTTCACTTTCTGCCATCAGAGTGGTATCGTCTGCATATCTGAGGTTGTTGATCTTTTCCCCAGCAATCTTAATTCCCGCTTGTGATTCATCCAGGCCAGCATTTCGCATGATGTACTCTGCATATATATTAAATAAGCAAGGCGACAATATACATCCTTGTCGTACTCCTTTTCCTATGCTGAACCAATCAGTTGTTCCATATCCGGTTCTAACTGTCGCTTCTTGGCCCTTATACAGGTTTCTCAAGAGACATGTGAGGTGGTCTGGTACTCCCATCTCTTTAAGGCCCTGCCATAGTTTGTTGTGATCCACACAGTCAAAAGCTTTAGCATAGTCAATGAAGCAGAAGTAGATATTTTTCTGGTACTCTCTTGCTTTCTCCATAATCCAGCGAATGTTGGAAATTTGATCTCTAGTTCCTCTACCTCTTCGAAACCCAGCTTGTACTTCTGGTAGTTCTCTATCCACGTACTGTTGAAGCCTAGCTTGTAGGATCTTGAGCATGACCTTGCTAGCGTGTGATATGAGTGCAATTGTGCGATAGTTTGAACATTCCTTGGCATTGCCCTTCTTTGGGATTGGAATGTATACTGACCTTTTCCAATCCTGTGGCCACTGTTGCGTTTTCCAAATTTGCTGGCAAATGGAGTGCAGAACTTTAACAGCATCCTCTTCTAAGACTTTGAATAGCTCAGC